ACACACACACACACACACTCTCACTCTCACTCACACACACACACACTCTCACTCACACACACACACACTCTCACTCACACACACACAAGGATGTGTTTCTGTCAGGACTAGAGTTATTAACCAGTCACTTCTGTGGTAGTTCATTATGAGCTTCCACTTGTGCCAAAATCAAGTCGACTGCTCTGTACTACACACTTTAGTGCATGTCTACAGTCACTGTGAGTTTGTTGAGATCAGTACACTGTACGTTGATGTGTGTGTTCTGTTCATGGGCCCTTTCTCACCGTCTTTCTAAAACTCTGAATATGATGATAAAGAATGAAACCCAGTGACTTCAGATTCATTCATGTTATAGAACAGAAAAATACATATTTTAGAAAACTCATTATTAGTCTAAATATTCGGTTTGTTTATCTGTAAAATGCACTGCAGAGCAAACTTATAAAGCATAAAACTGATCTGAGCACACAACAGCAGTAACACTAGTCAGATGAAATGCACAAACAGAACGGTGCGAGGTGAAAACAGGAGCTAAACTGGGAAACTGAGTAAATTAGGAAGCCGATTAAGCGTCCGTCATGGGTCAGTCATGAAAGCCGAATCCTGTGACACAAGATTAGTGTCTTCCTCAGTTTTCCTCGCTGTCTGAGGAGCGTTTGTGAGCTGATTCTCGCTCTGCTGTCTCCTCAGGCTCTACGAGTCTCCCAGCTCTCATCTGCGGTCCGGCGCCGGTCTGGACGCTCTGCAGTGGACTCGACATGTTCTGGATCAGCTGGACGCTGCACGACACTCGCTCGGCCAAAGACTGGAGTCCGGTACGTCACACCAGACCAGAACTGTATGAAAACATCAGATATTCCATGTTCATTTGCTCTCTGAAGTGACTTTCATCGTCAGTCCTTCTTATTCATCAGCCACCTTCATAATGAGAAACAAACTTCCAACATACAGTACATAATAAGATTATGCTTGTGGATCACGTGACTTTAAAGGGTCGGTTCGTCTAAAAGAGCAGATATTTCATCATTCGCTCACCTCTCATGTCGCTCCAAACCCATAAGACTTCTGTTCCTCTTCAGAACACAAATGAAGATATTTATTAAATGTGACCCTGGAGCACAAAACCAGTACATTTTGTGAAATTGAGATGTATGCATCATCTGAAAGCTGAATAAATAATATTTCCATTGATGTATGGTTTGTTAGGATCGGACAATATTTGGCTGAGATGCAACTATTTGAAAATCTGGAATCTGAGGGTGCAACAAAATCTAAATATTGAGAAAATCATCTTTAAAGTTGTTCAAATGAAGTTCTTAGCAATGCATATTACTAATCAGACATTAAGTTTTTATATATTTACGGTAGGAGATTTACTAAATATCTTCATGGAACATGATCTTTACTTAATATCCTAATGATTTTTGGCATAAAAGAGAAATGTATAATTGTGACCCATACAATGTATTGTTGGCTATTGCTACAAATATCCCCCAGCGACTCAACACTGCTTTTGTGCTGCAGGGTTACGTTTCATGTGATTTTACAGTAAAATACTGTTACATTTTTTGTAATTAATTTTTTTAAGTAATATACTGTTAAAGTTTTTAAAAGTGGAAAAAATCAAGTCTTATAATTTACAGTAAAAAAAACTTTTTTTTACTGTGAATTTCAGTTAAATCTATCAAACCTAAAATGTTGGTGCTGTATTTTTTACAGTGAAGTTCTGGCAGCTGCTGGTATTTGATCTTAGTTTTGACAGATTGTTTTTCAGTGCAAGAATGAAGGCTTCAGGATCAGTTTGTGATGACGAGGTCAGGAGCGGTCAGTGACGAGGATATGAGGACTAATGTAAGGACGCGGCCGGATATAAACACAGGAGCTCAGAATAACCAGCGTCATCTTATTAACGCTGCTTCATCTTGTCAGTGTGTGACTAGTGTTCAATCGGCGGGGGGGCGGAGCCATCATGAATATGTAAATGAGAGAGTGTGACGGACAGCTCTGACTCTGGGACTCTTGTAATGCGTTCAGGATTTAGTCGTAAGCTCGTTACTCGGCTAAATAAACCCTGTGTCACAAAGACACCCGAGCTAGTCACAGCGTTAACCCCTTACTAACCAGTGCTGATGCTGCTATATTTGGCCTGTAGGAGTGGGTAGACCAGCCGTAACCATAGCAACCATGTTTACATGAAAGGAGCTGGCTGTTCATGCTAAGTGTAGTGTGTAGCGTGTGATTACTGAACAGCAGATTTAGCACTAGTGTGCATGAACATATTCAGCTGGCTTCACACACACACTATCTCTCTCTCTCACACACACACACACACACACTCTCTCTTTCTCTCTCTCTCTGTCTCTCACACACACTCAGCAGCAGCGGTTGGTGATGTTGTTCGTCTCTGTCTCCTTCAGTCAGTAGATGGAGGTCAGGCTTCTCCTCTCCTGCTTTTCCTCGTGCTCGTGTCGTTGGAGTTTCTCCTCTCTGCACCTCCTCTCCCTCCTACAAACCCTGTGCTCCCCTTCCCAGCAGCACCTCCTGTGAGAGAGCAGGTAACACACACACATACACACACACACTCTCTCTCTCTCACACACACACACACAGAGCTCGTCTCGTTGTTCCTCTGTCAGGTTAATGATGTGTTGTATGTAGACATGCTTATTCTGTCCTGCAGTCGAGAGTTTAGATCACATGACCTGCTGAATGTTTTATTCACTTTTAAAGTAATTAAATTCACTCAAAATGAATTTGAGTGTACTAGTGTATGAGAGATGAGTTCAAGTGTACTGCAAGTGGTGACTAAATACATTTTTTAAATACAGAGCACATTTGAATTCATATTCATGGTGTCCCAAAATAGCACATTTGAGTACACTTAGATGTTCTTAAAATTATCTTAGGAAGTACTAAAGAATCAATTTGAGTGTATTAAGCACAAAATGAGTGCGTGAAAACAGCAGCTTTTTTTCACCCGGGATGCCACATGATGATCATGTTCCTCGTATGTAATGTGAGGAAACTCCACATGTGTTCTGGAGAAGAGCTGTTCGGCTGGAGACGCTTCACAAATATAAACTATATGTGTCTAAAACAGGCTCAGAATCTCCAGTGACTGCATTGATTCATATTCTGAAGCTAAAAACTCTCAGTCTGTGTCCATCAGACTCTGTGTGATTAATATGAAATCTGTGACATGCTCTGATGGGAAGTTGATTTAGCCGTTAGTCACTGATGTTCTGTGAGTCTGGTCTTCTCCTCAATCTGACAGAACTCACATGTTCCTCCTTCACTCGGCCAATCGCAGTAAGCCCTGCTGACATCACATGATCACGTCTTGTGTGTGATGTTCGTCAGGTCGCAGTGTGTCGGTGGACAGTGATGTGAGCGCGTCTGAGCCGGACACCGCCGCTGTTTCTCTGGGTTATAAGCTGCAGGACCTCACGGACGTCCAGGTGATGGCCCGACTGCAGGAGGAGAGTGAGTGTGAAGATCCAGATCCCTCACTAAACACGCCACATTGCACCACTGAATGACACGTATACAGAAACACTAAACATTCAACACATTTCTTTATTTTAATAATATGTGACCCTGGAGCACAAAACCAGTCATAAGGCTCAATTTTGTGAAATTGATATTTATACATCATCTGAAAGCTGAATAATAATCTTTCCATTGATGTATGGTTTGTTAGGATAGCACAATATTTGAAAATCTGGAATCTGAGGGTGCAAAAAAATCTAAATATTGAGAAAATCATCTTTAAAGTTGTTCAAATGAAGTTCTTAGCAATGCATATTACTAATCAAACATTAAGTTTTGATATATTTACGGTAGGACATTTACTAAATATCTTCATGGAACATGATCTTTACTTAATATCCTAATGATTTTTGGCATAAAAGAGAAATGTATAATTGTGACCCATACAATGTATTGTTGGCTATTGCTACAAATATCCCCCAGCGACTCAACACTGCTTTTGTGCTGCAGGGACACATAT